GATGTCTAATTATTCTTTGCTGACTTTCAGGTGGAGTTTCTTCTCTGTCAGGGCCTCTCTTTTTCTAATTAATTTTTGTTTTTCATATTTGAAGATAACTCTAGTCTCAACCAATGTGATTTCTCTTAATGTTGAACAAAGGAGACTGAGTGCAATGTCAAAGCATAAATAGCATCGTTCACCATAACTTGGCTGCAGCTGCCAATTACAGGGCCTTTTAAAACCAGATTTATGACAAACAGGCTGATGTGCTCAAAGGTTGCCTTTTTTGGACAATCTTTGGTTTTTCCTCATTTGAAGTTGTACTTAGTTATGTTCCTAAAATATCCATTCAGTGTAGTCATCAATATGGTTACTGTTTTACTCATAAGGTTAAATAATTATAGTGATGTATCCACGAAAGTTGAAAACCTCCAAATAAGTTTTTTTTTTTTCTGCAATTTAATTTCTTGAGGTATAAGTGAGTTCTCAGGGGACATTTCTTCCACTGTTGTTAAACTTGCATTTCTGGTTCTTCACCTATAAAGCAGCCTTCCTGCAAATATGCCACTTATTGCAGGACTTCCTTAAGTCTTTCAATGGGTAAAGTTCATGGTGAAATTTTAAAGTGGCTATATAGTGTTCTTAACAGGTTACTCAAGTTATTTCACCCTGAAACCCATCCTACCCCACCTCCATCAAATTTAAAGGTCAATGGTGACACTTTGTAAAGTACTGATGCTCCTTGGCTACCTATTGTGAAAAATGTACTAGAGAAAATAATTTGTGTCTTTGGGTTGTACAGATTATGGCAGAATTGGTGGGTGGAAGTATGAGATGTAGCTTCTGCAAATTTTATACTGAATTTTTTTACGATATTGTCAACCATAACGTATTCCTCATGTAATTTATATAACCTTATATAATTTATACTTCTGGCATCTGTATTACCATTGATTTTCTTTTTAAAACACAAGTTATAGGTGTTTACATTCAGTAGAATGGATTTATTATTATTGCTATTATTAATTTTAATGCATTTCTTATTAATAGAAAATATTAGCAAGGCATATGGGGGCTCTCACTTTAATCCCAGCTACTGGGACAGAAGAATGGAAGAATGGTGAGTTTGAAGCCAGCCTCTGCAAACATAGGCAACATAACAAGGCCGTTTCTCAAAAAGAAATATGTATAGGGCTGGGGATGTGGCTCAAGCAGTAGCGTGCTCGCCTGGCATGTGTATGGCACTGGGTTCGATCCTCAGCACCACATACAAATAAAGATGTTGTGTCTGCCGAAAACTAAAAAATAAATATTAAAAAATTCTCTCTCTCTCTCTCTCTCTCTCTCTCTCTCTCTCTCTCTTAAAAAAGAAATATGTATACACTCAATAATAGCTATTTCACTAAATAATTACTACTGAACACTATTGTGTGTATCTATAAGTGGGTAAGAGAGAGAAAAGATTTAAGAACCAAATCAAAAAAATTTAAGGTGGCTGTATAGTGACAGAACTTCAGATCTTTGGATCTTTCTGATGAGAAAATTCAAAGTCTAAACAAAAGTAATACACATGGTGAGATGAATGGTAGATGTTTAAAATATTAGAAAATAAATGGTGGGAAATGTAAAGTTAAATTATCATGTGACTTTTCAATTGCTATCTTTTGTTAGCTAATTATAATCCTCACCAAATAAAAGGATGATGAGATCCAAGCTGTAGCAGTGATTTTAAGAACATGAATTGTCCATACATTCATCCCTTGCAGTTGATTCAGTTTACAGCCTGAATGCTTTTCTGCATTTTAATATTTCATTTAGGGGCATTATAAACTGGTATAAATAAGAAATAATTTTGGAGAGTTAAATGTTAGTAATTAAGCAATTCAACAGATCTAAGTCCCAAACCAAACAATTTTAAACATGTCTAATATGATTTGTAGCATTACTTATTTTTTTTCCATCACAAATAGCCTGCAGGAGCATTTAACCAGTGAGATATATCACCATACTTTTTAATTTTTTAATTTTGAGACAGGACCTCAATAAATTTCTACAGCTGGCTTTGAACTTAGGATCCTCCTGCCTCAGCCTCCTGTGTCACTGAGATTACAGGTGTGTACCACCATGACGGGCCAGTTGTTATCTTTCTTAATAACTCTCCTAATCATATTATTTGCAGTTTCCAGTATCTATAGGGGAAGGTGTTCCTAAGGCCAGTTATAGAAGCAGTAACAGAATCCATTGTAGAGCTGGTTCTGGGAACCCAAAACTAAAAACCCAGCTGAGAGACCAATTTTCTTCCTAAGGGTGTTATTCAATGTAATTACACCCTTTGAGTGATTTGATTTATCCTTTTGTAAAACTATGCCAGTGGAGAAAGTGACTTGTTTTGCTTTTCCTATAGAGAGAAAATATTAAGAGAGTATTAATTTTAAATTAAGTTAGATTAAAAAAATATATATGAAAAACCAGATTCATAGTTTTGGGGAAAAATTATGAGGGAAGTTTTAATGAGAAAATATTACTTATCCCAATTAGAACTATTTTAGTAAAATGCTCATACTGTGTAATTTATAACACTTTGATAATATTAAAATGTGATGAATGAGGGAGACAAAAATCTATGGGATATTTAGAGCTTTCCTAATTAGATAAAACAACAATTAGATTCATTTTTAAGGGCATACATACAAGGAGAGCTAAACTATTTCATTTTGTAGGTCTCACTGCAGCATTCAAATTTGATTTTGCCAATTTGACTTTCCAATTAAGTTCAGAAATTCCAAGAATGGCTTGCTGCAATTAAGTGTCATTTACTCTTTATTTTTTTTATTTAATAATGAATTATTAACCATGTACTATTTATGCCACTGTACATTTAAAGAACCGGGTAAATGGAAGTTAGTAAAACATGGCCCATTCTGACAAGTATTTAAAGTATGAAAATTCAATTAGCTCCTTTGTTAATTGAATGCTTTCTTTGCTAGAAAATTTGAAGTTTTGTGCCTCTGGCAATGATTTGTGCCAGTGGCAGCATTTTCTGGGTCTTCAGATTTCCTTGTTGTTTTTGTGATTGCACTTTGAAGAATATTTTACTTATCATTTCATATAGAAAATATGTAAATATAGATTCAGTCCAACCTACAGTAGGACTAAATCGTTATAATCCAACACAACTGGTCGTCTGCAAAGTTGGATTATAGTATGTTGAAAATTATGAACTTCTAATGTTCTTTACGCTGCCTAAATAAAGTGTCATGGACAGGTCCCGCTAATTTGTGGAACAGTCTGACAATATCTGCCACTTAAAAGCAGCAGTACTGTGCAGGGTTGCCTAAGTGTTTCTTTTGCTCTGAGTTTTCTGTACTGAATGTTTCTTTTTGTACTCTTTTCTGCAATTTAAAGTTTAGCTCCTGGCAGCATTAGAAAGCTCGGCAGCTATCATTTCAGATGGTTCACCTGGAGTTCTCTTTTATGATGCCTAATCTCGAGCTGTCCTCACATTTCTGCTTACTGGGTATAGAAGGGCAAATGCGGTTAAGCAAAGGAAGAGAAAAGTTAGCAAAATGAAAGAAAAACTTTTTTTTCTGATCACAGTATAGCACTAAAGGGTCAGCTCTATTTATAAAAGAGGATTCGTATTAGCTCACTGAGCATTTACAATTCAGATGACAAGAAGACACTTTTAAGAGCTGATTTACTATTCTCAGGCCAGGGCTCATGCCAAGTGAGCTCAAGTAACTGCACCAGCTGAGCGAGTAAAAGTACTTAATATACTCATCTAAGATCTCCACAAGAGTGGCTTTTTGGCTGCAAAACAGGGCCTGCAGCTGTCAGCTTTCTCCACTGTCACTAGTAGATATCACTGCAGTCAGTCAGAATGGCTATGGAGGATCCCAGAAAAAGACACACGCATCTTCTCCCCTTGCAGAGGCAGCTGCCCAAAGGTCACTAATCCATGGCTGGAGGGAGGAAGTTTGGCAGCCACACACCGTGTGCACTGACTGAGTAGCTGTGATCATCTGTCCAAACGTCTTAGTGGGAAGACCAGGCTGATCTCAATACAGTAAAATGAGTTTCTTTCTAAACTCATGTGACATATCTTTATATATTTAAACAGATTAGCCTTAGTCCCAATGGCAACTTTCTTGTGATTTGGAAATGATCAGAAGAAAAATGGAAAAAGTATAAGTGTTTATACTTTATTTCCCATAATAAATTTCTTTTTTGAAAGTGTTTTTTTTATCTTTTCCCCCATAATTTTGTATAGGTGCATTTTTAAAGTGTTTTTAAATAATGAAAAAGTGGAATTAGCCTTATTATAAGCATTAGCAATTATATAATTTAGTGCTCTGATTTAAAGATTTTAGCAGTTATGCAATCTATTAACTTTAGACAATTAATTGAAAATATTGCAATATTTTTGTAGCTTCTTTTTGATTCAAACTTTCTGGTAATATGTGTGGTGGAGACAATGGAAAACAATAATTTATAGTAAGAAATACATAGAAAGCAAGAAAACATCTCAGGAAATGATGTGAAATTAATCATAAGTGATATGAAACTAATGAAATTAATGTTAGAGTTACTTTAAACCAACTCTTGCTTCATTTCTATCATGAGATGCTATATGATTACTGTCAGAAATAACTAATACTAACACAGTTGTTTAGAGAAAAAGTTATTTTCTTAGTTATATTGCTATGCTTATATCATGACAAAAAAGAACACTACACCCCAGGAAAATTATAAAGAAAAGCAAATTATAACTTAGATTGTGGGAAGAATGATTTAAAGTTTATGACTATATAATTTTAACTAAAGTAGATTCTTAGTATTAATATATATTCTTTTACTTAGATATATGGAGATAATAAAATTTGCACATAATTAATTCTAGAAAAAAAGGACACATTTTAGAATTCTCTCACATTTTCTTGGTGTTTTACTTGAAAATCCTGTAGCTTATTAGCTTGCATTAGGTTGTATTTTTCATAACTTTTGCATATTCAATTTAGGTTTCCTATGGCGGAAAATCTCAGATGGCCACAAGATGGTACACCACCTTTAATATTATGTCTTTCTTCACTGAATCCAAACCTAGGCTAAAAGGGAGGTAAGTCTCTTTTTGCATCAGAAAGAAAATCATCTCTCCCCTGATTTGTTTCTCTGGACATAACTCCATCTGAAAAAGACAGAAGAATGATTTTCTGGTAACAAAGAAAGGGAAGGAAATGTTTTTGCTAGTGAGGGACAGACAGCGTCCTCCATTCGCACCATAGTTATAACAAGAAAGGACATTTTTCTGAATCCTCCTATAAAGAAGCATTCTAAATAAGAGCCATCCTATTTGTGTGAGGCCTGTGCTGTTGATCCTGGAAACTGGACATGCAGGGGTATGAGTTTTCAGACTGCTGTGGTCTGTGAAAAACTTTGGAGAAAAAAAATTCTTATTGCCCTACAATGTAATATACTTAATTACCTTGTGAAAAAAAATGACTGATATTTACATATATACATATATATAGATAGATAGATATTGATATGGTTTGGTTGCAACTTTTGTAATCTTTAATTGAATATATAAAATATGAACAATGGAGCCTGTGTAAGAAAGAATATGAGTAGCTACATTGGAAAATAGTTTGAATTAGTGTGGGACTGGTTTATGTGCAATGAGGTTACAAACACAGGACCTTAAGAGGATGAAAAAGTATTGTCCACTCAGCCACTTTTCCCCTCAAGATTAGGGGAAACAAAAATGGGGCTCATACTTGGTGCCATGACAAATCCATGCAATTTCTTTTCTATTTTGAGTTTTTGCTATTTGACACACTGAAATAGAAAATAGATAGCAAAGAAGGAACTTCTCTGTGGAAAAATTGGAAACAAATCCTAGAGCTTTGAAAAAGACCATGTTGCAGGAAAGTTTTACATGAAACTCTTTTGCCAGTAGAGTCCAATGAATGTAATATTTTGAAAACAGTAATAATATTCCTTCTCTAATTGATTTCTAGTTAATGCAAAAGGGTGTTTTTGAAGAACAGGAGCTCCTGATAAGTATCATTTGAAAAACGTGGTGCATGATTTTTTGTTGGACTTTATCTTGAATATATACATGGACTTCCTATAATATCTTAATTTTTAAGGCAAACATATCTCTTGCCCAACCATACATTTTAATATTGTGCTAACATCTGATTGTTTTCGGGAAGATTGTTGTCATCTTGCTGCTGATTTATTCATTGAATAAGGTGTTTGAAGAAGTGCCCAGCAAAACATCATGTGCAAAGAGGCTCCTAACACACACATTTGTGACTAATGGTGACAATGATGGCACATCATCACCAATTTACTCCATTGTTCCGTTTTCCCTTGGAAAATGCTGTCTATACTAAATTACCAAAAATGTTTTATTCATTATCACAAATGAGATAATATCACATAACTCATGAATGCTAAGGCAGTCTGTTTAGATAGCATAGCATTTAAAGTGTATAAATAAATTTAAGATGAGTATTAATCTCACTGACCAATAAATAGTTTTAAAAGGCACTTGGTTAACTCAAGGCAATGTAGATATATATTGCTTAATCTATATGGATAAGAAAAGTAAATAAAGTGTTCCAGGAAATAGTTCTGTAAATCTTCTAAAGGCACTGAGAATTCACCTTCTCAGTTTTACAGTTGTTATCATTTTCTTACTGTTTTCCTAACAAAGGGGAGCAAACAAAATAATTATGTGGTTATTCTTAAAATTTTATCCTACTGTCATTTAAAAATATTTGTTGAGGCTAGACATGGTGGTGCATGCCTGTATTCTCAGCTGCTTGGGAGGCGGAGATAGGAGAGCTGCAAATTCAAAGCCCACCTCAGCAACGAGGTCCTGAGCAACCTGGGGAGTCCCTGTCTCAGAAAAACTAAATAAATAAAGGGCTGAGGATGTGGCTCAGTGGTTGTGTTTCCAGGTTCTGTTCCTGGTACCAAATGTGTGTGATGTGTGATGTGTGTGTGTGTGTGTGTGTGTGTGTGTGTGTGTATTGTTGAATAGCTATTATATGCTAAAATATTTTAATGTACTGTAGATACCTATTTCACACTCGTTTCTCCTGTTGTCTTATGTAAAGTAGTTGCATCCTTTTTAGAATACTGACTTAGACATCTCCTATCATTTCAACTCACTAACTTGCCTTTTTATGTGCCCTTTGTATATTTTCCAATACATGAACTGGATGAGAGCTCCAACACAGATAGAGATTCCAGAAGAAACCTTTTCAAAAAAGCACTTCAACAACATTTCACTTGAAATGTTATATACGGTTTGCAAATTATCTTCTCATTTTGGTTAAACTCCATCACATATCTGGTCTCTAAACAGAATATTCATATTTGTATATGAAATACTCATGCAAACACACACACACACACACACACACACACACACACACACATGCACCCTTCAATTATATTTTCAGGTAAGTGCATCCTCCCCTACTTCTTCCTTATTGTTGGCGTAGAATTGAGAAGTTTGGGGGCTCTATGGAAACCAGTGTAGAAGGAGAAGTGTGGGTGGGCATAGGCAGATCATTGGTTCTTGTATAGGCACTGACTCATGATCTAAAGCATCCTCTAATCTTTCTAAGCCTGGGTTTTGCTCTGGTTTTTTCATGCTTGTTTGCTCATTATCAATGAAGTTTGTAGATATGCATAGGTGAAAGTCCTTTTTTTCCACATTTTATATTGGTACATTACAGTTGTACATAATGGTGAGATTTGTTCTTATATATTCTTACATCTGAGAGTCCCTCTTAAAATTTATTTTGCATTACTCCAAACTTCTTTAATGTACATACAAAAATCAGTTGGATAGCTTTTGTTCTTTAAGAAGGTGAACTATTATTTTAAGGATAATCATTACATTTAATATGCCCTGCTTTATTTAATTTAAGCTCATATTTTAATTTAGAATTGAAACATCATCTTATCATGGGATATAAAATAAGGAGAGAAACATTTTCAAACCAATTTGTAGTCTTCATATGAAGATTTAAACTTTTAATTTAATCTTTCAGACTAACTTGTTGAAATATATTACTTTTACTCTCAATTTATTTTAATCTTATTATTGTCAAAAATTTATAAAAAAGTATTGCTAATGACAGGGCTTATTTTGTTACAATTTGATCAGAGTAACTATCATTTGCTACATAAATTGAACTATTATGTTTATCAAGTCCAAAGGAAAATTCTTCCATTGAATTAAATATTATTTTCCTGTAGTTAGAAATCATAAGTTTATAAATATGAGACCTTTTATGTCTCATGCATTTTATAATAATAAGATCATAAATTTAAAAGGCAGTATCTTTGCAAAAGCATGCTTTAACATATTTTTTTTCTCTTGGTATTAGGAATTGACCACAGGGGCATTAACATTAAGCCACACCCCAACCCGTTTTTATTTTTTTTTATTTTTTAATTTTGAGACAGAGACTTGCTAAGTTGCTTAGAGTCTTGATAAATTGATGAGGTTGGCCTTGAACTTGAGATCCTCTTGCCTCAGACTGGTGTGCACCACTGTGCCCAGCTTAAAACAAAGTTTTAGTTGAATACATTCACAGATTTATAAGAAAAGTATTTTTTGAGATCACTTGAAAAAAATTTGCTAATGATGTTGTCATAACATGAAATGTGAAGTGCTGTATAAAATAAATGTAAAAATACTTAGCTTCTGTTTCTCAGAATGTGCTTCTGATTTTGGATTTCTTGTTGGAGCATGAGAAAGTGCAGAAACTCTAACAGAAAGGACTCTTGGGGCACAGTGTTTTTGGTTCTTGTCAAGGCTCTGTGTGTTTATGAAGGTTGGAGAGTCTGAGCTACTTAAGAAAAGAAGAGCCAGGCCTGGCATGTTCAGGCTTCTGTGTCCAAAAGTCTCCTAGAACTGCAAAGGAGTGTGAGGGGTGGGTCCTGGACACTGAAGGTCCACACAGTGTTTTCTTTCTGTCCACCTGATACTTCTGTGCATTCCTCCTTTGAGGAAGGAGTGGTGTTCTTCTTGCTCATTGGAACCAGATTTCACAGGTTATTGCACTTTAACTATTAAAAGAAAAACTGACACACAATGACATTTTAAAAAGAGTTTGTGCAAATAGCCATTCATGAACTGGAAAGCATCAAACCGAAAGCGTTTTACTGCTGGAATATAATGAAGCCTTAGAGGGAAGTATTTATAGAATGAACAGGGAGGTAAAACAAAGAAATGCTTTGATAAGTTACAGTTACAAAATCACCTGTTTGGTTCACCTTAGTGAATGGAACCCTGTATGCTAGTGGGTTGCTTTTGTTTGGCTTAGGTTAAGGGGTTTTTGTTGTTGTTCTTTTGTTTTTGTTTAACATAAGCATTTACCAGAAACAACACAAGTTAAAGTTTCATTTCTATCTGCAGTCTTAAGCAAGGTTACAGCTGTTTTAAGGACTGGCTGGTTTTGTTATCTCAGGAGTTTTATTTTTCTTGATGTGGCGCATACTTTGATTCTACACCGTCTTTTCATTTGAGTACCAGTAGTACCTGATTAGAACGAGCTCCTAGAAGGGGCCGTGATTGCGCTGGATTGAATTAGCTCCCTAATCAAGAGTCTTCTGATGGAAGTTTGATGGTTAGAAATTAGGGATATACTTTTAGGGGGTAAATTAAGTAGTTAGCATATTAAACACTGCCATGTGGTGTGTCTTGGCGCTCTGGAACCTGGAACACATGGGTTAAGATGCCTGCTGTTCCTGTCATTAACAGCATACACTTTGACAAGGATCTAGGCTGTCCCTTGTGGAGTTTTCAATTTGGGAGTGTACATACTGGAGGGCTTCATCCAGTGTCTGTAGAGTAGTTTCCTGGAGCCTCTCACGTATTCATACATGACGACATAATGACAGCGCAGGTGACGATGGTGGTGTCTGGGTAGACATAACAGACACTGAATGCACCCAGCCTCCTGATTGGTGAAAGGGATCCTCTGCCAGGTGGAGGTGTCTCCTGTGGCTCCCAGTGGAGGACTCTTGAAGACTCTTAGCTCCCATGAAGTAGTACTTCATTGTTCTCAGTGGATGGGCTCTGGATTC